CTAGCCAATAGAAGCACGAGTGTTACATAATGATGTCACTATGTAACGGAAGTAAACTAAATAGTCCAATGGAGGCGTTTCAGGCATTGATGAATGCATAATGATTATTGATCAATATGATTATTGATCAATATGATTATTGATGCAATGATATGTTCCTCACAGCTGGTAAAGTGGTTGACCTCATTTGAAATACAGCTGTTTGATATTTTTACATACTATATGCATATATATCTTTGTTTGTTAAACACATCTGAATGTGTCAAACTAAAGTTGTCAAATAAATGTAGTGGAGCAAAAAGTACAGAAGCATACTGTATGTGTACCTCAAAATTGTTATCAAGTACAACACTTGATTAAATGTACATGATTAAATGTCACGACTGGCTGTTGCATTGCCTTCTTGGTAGAGCTGTTGGCAGGTACTGGGGTTGGGTCAACGCTGAGGAGGAAAGCGGTTCGAATCATGGCTGCTGTCACTTTACTCATGTCATCCCTTCTATCTTCCCATTTCAAATATATATCTCTAATAAAGGCTAAAAATTGCCCAAAAAACTAAAACAAAATGCAAGGCAACTACAGAATGTGCACATTGGTAGACATTCTAGAGTCCATGAAGGTATCCATCATTAAATGAGCCTGGTCACACCAAGGGTGAAAAAGCTTCATCAAAGTGTCTATTTGTGCATGTGTCTGTGTGTTTGTGTCACGGCAGAGTGCACACAAAGACAGCCTAGTAGGGAATGTAGGTTAAGCAGCTGGTGTGTTCCTCTGCAGCCCTGCCAACAGTGATCTGCCCATACAGGTGTAAATACAGCTGCCACACACACACACACACACACACACACACACACACACACACACACACACACACACACACACACACACACACACACACACACACACACACACACACACACACACACACACACACACACACACACACACACACACACACACACACACACACACACACACACACACACACACACACACACACACACACACACACACACACACACACACACACACACACACACACACACACACACACACACACACACACACACACACACACACACACACACACACACACACACACAAAGATAGAGAGGACTGGCTGCACAGACAGACAGATGGTGCCTGGCACTCCTGTGCAAGACAAGTATAGCGTGAAAGCATATGATATCAGCCCCCACTCTAGGGGCCAGACATGTTGCTCCACTCAGTGTGTGTGTGTGTGTGTGTGTGTGTGTGTGTGTGTGTGTGTGTGTGTGTGTGTGTGTTTGGGGTACTGGTGCAGCCGTGTGTATGCAGGAGCAGGCCGCACAGCTGCATGTCCTGATGCATTAATACTGACACCTCCTCCGGCCTGGATGGAGGTAAGAAGATAATGGGGGTCCCATTTCAAATATTGCCATTATGTCTTTTGATTGTACCTGTCAAATGTTCTGTTTGCGTGAAAAGTTAGTTGAAGAGCCGCCTTATTGCACACAGTGGGTGTTTCTCAATGTCGAGTATGCTTGCTTGGTAGCACATGTCTTCCGAGCGTCTTGCTTCAGAAGCGAGGCAAGAATCCTTCCTGGCATTCGGAAAACGAAGAGTGGAACAGGCGAGCAAGTGTGCAGGTGTGCTTCATATGAGAGGCCCCGCCTTACATTTTCCACCACAGATTTGGGGAAATTGGTCCGTGCGCAAAGCATTGTGGGGATTTTAAGACCGCGGAGTCTACACATGTGCAGACTCGAAATCTCTCGCTACGAAGTACTCCGGCCTCGGTAGAATTCCAATTATGCTGGACATTGGAACAGTCCTTCGGCGGCACTCGATGACGTAGTATGCTTGAAATAGTGGCTCTGGAGCAGCTTTACTCGACATTGAGAAACACCCAGTGACATGCCTCCTCATTAACATTACTTCCCACACTGAAATCTATTACTACCAAGTCCCACATTCAAAGTCCTACTGCCCGAAATATTCACGAGAGTAAAAAATGTGTTTTAAAATGTGTGTTGAACATTTCCCCCAACAATTGCACTATTTCCTGCCACCATACTTGTAACACAAAGTATTGAAAAGTATAAAGAAATGATAGTCAGCATTAAATATCTGGTAAGATTCTTTCGGCTTGATGAGATTGTTTTTGATTTGAAACGTTCCTGATTACATTTTATTTAGGCAAAGGATTTGGTTATATATATTTTAATAAAATTAAGAACAAAAATAAAGACGTATATCTAAACACACATATTGCATCTAGTATCGTAAGGTTTAAAATAATATACTGCGGTATATTTCAAAGGTATGACCATGACACACTTGTGGAATTTGGAAAGAGCAACACCAGACAAAGAAGCAATTTGCAGCAGGGAAATAAATAAAAATGAATACATAAATAAATGTAGTTATTACTGCTTACACAGAAAGTTAGAGGCATAATAATGGACAAATAACTCATTTAAACATCCATCGGCCAGTGAAAAATGAATACAAAATAATAGAGTGATTAGGATAGAGGCAAAAATAAATAAGAGAAATGAGTGTCAAGTGAATGTAAAAATAGAAATAGGACTACAGCAAGTACAGGCATAATAACAATTGAATATAAACATTATTACAGATGACATAAAGATGAAAATAAACATCTAAAAAAAAAAGTTTGACTTAGAATAGCAACAAATAACTTTAAAATGAACACAAACAACACAAAAGCTCTCATTGAAAGTGAATTTGATTAGACTCAGAGAACCCTGCATTGCATGACGTTAAACATTACAATGCCAAAACCAAATGCAAACCACCAGTGTCAGGACATCATAATAAATATTTCAAAGCGGGACACCGAAAGCAATAATACGTGTTGCAAACCGAACGCACTTTGCAAGTCATCTTAATGTTTTGAAAGAAAGGCTTAATGTCGGTCACTTCCACCGCAGGATCACGTCTCTTAAGCTCACTTATCAAATATCACACGAGAAATAAATCCATCACTGTCTGTTCACATCATTATAGCATTTCATATTCAAACACGGCATGAAAATTACATTTAAATAAAAATATTGAAATCCGCCCATATTTGTGGAGCCACCTGTACTGTATGTAAATGCACTTAGAAAAGGCCTGTTGTTGCTCATGGTCTTAAAACTACATTATTTCAATGCATGGCGACGATCCAGCTCTAAAAGAAGAAGAACAAATAACGAGGACGAAGGTACTTTTCATTTGTTCTTATAATACTGGAAGCTAGCAGGGTTAAACTGCATCTGGCGTATCTTGAATATTATTTTAAATTATTGTAAGGGTTTTTATTTCTATTCTCGTTATGAATTATGTGTTTTATCTGCTTTCCAAACAGCCCTCAGACTAAGTTCGCATGTCTGTTCTGCTTCATTAGCCTATGCAAAAAAGTGGTGGCCTGAGACAAGAAATCCATGAGCATCGGATGGATGCGAGAGAAAAAGCTCCGGCCTTTGTTGACACAATTCAGTGTTTTTACAGTGTGATTGATAGAAAAAGACAGCAGATCAAAGGACTGAAGTTAAGGATGAAATACAGTGTGATTTCAATGTTCTTCAACGGCAGCCAAACTGTAAATGAATTTGATAGGCTGCCAATAACACCTTTACACTCGATCGTTACCATTTAAAGGATTCATTTGTATACTGAGTGCATTGCACCTGGGAGACTTTTACAAAAGAGAGTTTTTATTTAAAACAAGTACAATGACAAAAAGTACAATAAGTCTAATTTAATCATTTATACCTGTATATTTAAACATTTTATTTATTAATTTTCCCTTTTTTTATTCTTCACATTTAATTTACTTCACATTTGACTATTTATTTATTTGCTCTTGTATTCTTTGACATTGTTATTTTTACAATTTGTGTTCTATTGTTTTCATCCAAATGTCCTTTCTATGTATAATGTGGATGTGCAATATCAATGTAATATCCATCCGATGTACTATGTGGATACAGCTGAATGAAAATGGAAATAAAAGTAGGCCAAAGTGTGAATATGTTTGTTTACTTTGAAATTGTTATTATATTGTTTATTTCTTTCGATGTATAAACTCTGAAATACTTATTTATAAGTTATTAAAAAAAGAAAGTGCCATGATTTGGCAATAATAGTTCAACTCCTTAAAGGTGGGGTAGGTCATTTTGGAGAAACCATCTTGTTACTTTAGCCGGGCCGGCTAAAGTGATTGGTGGTGCTTTTTACAGAACTACGGCTTCCACAGATGACGTTTTTTATGGATTTTTTGTCAAAGCACTTCAGATATTCATTGCTATCGGATGTTAAGAGCATTCCATGGAATATAACAAAAAGTGTATCTCGAGCCGGTTTCTCAAACTTACCTACCCCACCTTTAACTTTGATTTGTTGTGCATGTTAAAATATGTATTTTGTTAAATCTAAATGTATTTTCAAACAAAATATATAAAGAATCCCAAAATGTTACCTACTAGAAGTCATTCAACAGTCTATAACCCTGAATGATGTTGTATGTAGATGTATTGACGTTTCTTCAACAACTCCTGCTGTTACATACTATCAACAACCTAACAACAGCTAAATAAAACTACAACACATCCAAATAAAAATAGTGTAAATCATTTCCTGCATTCCAAGGCAAGATGTTTGCATATTATTTGATTGTCTTGAACTCAAATATTTGTCGTATTTATTCTTGACGGATGAATAATGTCTGTGGCTCTTTAGTTATACAGACTATGATCCACCAATGATCTGGAAGCTACCAGTCATGTCATAACTCATGTAACTAGCGTATAAAGAGATTACGAATGATTGACAAGTAAGGGATAATGTGTTGCGATCCGATCATTGCTATGAAACCAACCCTGATATGATGAATCCTTGCTTACAGCTATATTACAGTGGGTTACAATCGTTTAAGTGTGTTTGGATGGCTTATAAATGCACAATATGGGGTTCAAGTGAAGGGCTAAGATGTGCATGAGTGTGCTTCCTACCCGGAGCGCTTGGTGATGGTGCCCAGGGTCATGGGCTGTTTGATCTGAGCCAGAGGCAGCACCACGGTGAGGCTCGGCAGCGGGGCCAGCCGCGGGTTCCCCATGTTGTTGTTGGTGAAGTTGTTGTATGAATCCTGGCTGCTCAGCTTGGCTGGAAACACACAGATATACATTATTACAAGTGTGAAAAACATTGGATTTTCTCCAGGTCGGGAAAGCTTTTTAATAGATTTGAAAGGAAATATTTCAATCGAGAGCCTTCCAAATAGTTGTACTGAGAATCATACTGTGTGGTATCTGGTCAAACCTTTCACACGTGATAATATGTTTTGGTGAAAAGTGGTTCCTTGTTTATCGTTACAGATGAATCCTAAGTTCTAAGTTTGAGTTGTATTAAAAATTCCCTCATTCACTTTTATCCAGTGGAAGATTGTGGCTCAGTGGATAGTGTGATGGACTTTGAATCAGGGGATAGCAAGTTCGAGTCCTGCAGTCAGCATGTCGTTGTGTCCCTGGGCAAGACACTTCACCCCAAACTGCTCCTGTGGGGATTGTCCACAGTACTGAATGTATGTAAGTCGCTTTGGATAAAAGCGTCTAACAAATGACATGTAATAAAAATCCATCGCTCACTTTGAATTGCAGATGACCTTGTTTATAGGGCTGCACACATTTTCAACATTTGATCAAAATCGCAATATCCACATTTCTTGGTTAAGGAAAAATATGTGAAAATATAATTCTGAATGAAGCAGAAAAGTCAAACGATATCAAACGATACTTTGTAAAACTTTTTAAAAATACTTAATAATAGCTTATCTTTTGGTACAACACTTTAAAAAAAAAGATTACACAAATATAATTTAAACATATTTTCCAAAGATAGTGTTAGTATGTTTTTAAAATGATAATTCGGGCCCGGTGACAGCTCAGTGGTTAGAGTTAGTGGCCCCAATGCGGTGTCTGTTGCTAAGATGAACCCACGGATACCATCCCCTCTATCTACAAAAAAAAAAAAATGTATATATATAGTTACCTTGAATATATCGAATGATATTGCAATTGCAGTCAAAATACTCGCAATCGCGTTGTTTACAAAACTGAAACACCTACTGTTACATAAAAAAATCTTGTTTGAATATACTGAGCACTCTTATATTGAAGCTTTTTGCTTAAACTCTCTCTCTATTACACACACACACACACACACACAACCCCAGGTTCAAGGCCTCCTGTGGAATGATTGGAAATAACCAGCTCAAGATGCTACATTACAAAGGCTGTAGCTCGGCTTTTAGTGCCTGGCAGTCTGTTAATCAAGGCCAATCAACACACACACACACACACACACACACACACACACACACACACACACACACACACACACACACACACACACACACACACACACACACACACACACACACACACACACACACACACACACACACACACACACACACACACACACACACACACACACACACACACACACACACACACACACACACACACACACACACACACACACACACACACACACACACACACACACACACACACACACACACACACACACACACACACACACACACACACACACACACACACACACACACACACACACACACACACACACACACACACACACACACACACACAAGCTAAACATAATCAGACCATGTCGAAGGTCTAATGAATGTAACCAGGTATACCAGGAGAGAGGCTGCTAGCTTGTGACACTCACTATTTAACCAAACACATACTGTTAGCCTCCATCTTACTGGGTAACACTCTTTTCACATAATCTCTGGTACGAAAAGTATGTCATGCAATTGTGTGCATGTAAAATAAACACATGATTTGTTTTTTATTTCATATAAAAAAGCCAAAGCATATATTTAATTGTGTAAGATAGCATGTGGCAAGTTATTTTTCTATTGTACAATAACCAATATTATTTTATAAATCCATTAAAAGAGTTCTAAAGCAGTCGAATTAAGAAGTATATTACTGTGGGCAAAATCCTGGTCACATCTGAATTGTAGCCAGGTTTTATGACAAATTATTAAGTTGAAATATGGTTCATATTTTTGAATGGAACTTCTTTCTGAAAACAATCCCTTTAAAAAATGAGTTTCTCATGTTGCTGTTATTTATATACATAATTTCTATAAGCTCAGTTCCATTTACCTCCATTGTAAAGGGATACAGGCAAACATCTCTAAAGCTTATTTCTAAACCTTGAGAACAAAAAAACTGCATGGCAACATACCACCAGGGCCAAGTACAACACTATGGGTTTGTATTGTCACGTTGGTACAATGGGAAAAGAAACAGTCACATAGAAACAGTAAGAAAGGAACATTACACTATAGGGGGGAAATAAATGTGGATAATAAAACAAATATGCCCCCACTGTTGATTCAATGTGCAGCCCGGGTAAAAAAAGAAATCCAAGTTCAAGTGCTTTCAAAAGAAATAAAGAGCAAACCACAATACGCCCTCTGAATGTGTTCCTTGTTCCATTTGTTGCCTTAATAGATGAGTGACAGCCACGCAACATAAAGGAATGAGAAGGAGGAAGGGGGGACGCGAAGACAAAGAAAACAAGGCGGACATCAAAGGTTACAATAAAGGTAGAGGAGGAGAGTGCCTCGTCATTATTTGGAAAGGAGCGATCAAGAGGAGGCTGAATGCGAGCGGAAAGGGACTGCTGAGTGTTTTGGACCAATCTTTTAGATCATTAACGTGTAGCTCTGAGATTCATTAGTCCTGCCAAACCTCCGCGTTGTGGGCCTCTAATTAGGGCCGTCCTTCAGACCTCCGCTGGCCCACAATGCCGCATGACCTTCAGAGGCAGAGAGGAGACCATTACACAAACGTGTCCTTCATTTCCTTCTGCTCCTCTATTGGTAAGACTAGCAGACGTCTGTACCGGGACCGATCCTGAAAGTCCTCCAGATTTAAAAAGCTACACCCCGAGAGCTTGGGCAGCCACCTTTTGTGTTGAGGGGAGGGGGGGGGCAAATCAGTACAGGAAGCAGCCTGAATAGCCATAATGGTGCTTCAGCAAATAAGGGAGTGGAGGGTTGGGATTTGGGGGTGGGGGTGTTGACGAATTTAGCATCGTCATTCAAAAAAGGACTTTAGCTTCACTGCTTTATACGCGGTAATCCCCCACCCTTAAAAAATAAGCCTCACTGTGGGTTCTAGAACAGATGCGGGAGTTGATGATCATGCCGTGCTGTCACTCAAGGCCAAGTGCTCCTCAACTGTCATAACCCCCCCAGTGAAGACGACTTAATGTGGAACGTGTTGGAGATCACGGACGGCCAGAAGATGATACATAGGAAGACAGCTTGGATGTCTGAGAGACAGGCAGCAGTGAAGTGTGTGTGTCTGTGTATGTGGTGGCTTGTAGACAAAATGAGTAAAGGTATTGCTAACAAATGATAAAGGGAGTGTTTACCTCTACTAATGTCAAGGATTGGGATTGGAAATCATGTCCATCATTTTAGAAAGATTAAAACAAATATCTGAATGAAGACTACATGTGCTTTTTGTAAATGTGTATTTACATTATTGCTTTTTATTAAATTAAAAAAAGAAATTATTCGAAAATGCTGTTTCATTCTTTTATTTTGACCTTTCTTGTTTAGATTGTTTTAGTTTGTGCTATATTAATGAATGTGCCTTGCCTTACATACTTTTACACTTAGAAATAGTTTAAGGATTTTTAAATTAAGTTGTGATAAAATCATTCTGAAATGTAAGGAATGTCTGCCAAGTGTATCACCAGTCTATATTTGGCCTGTACCATAATTACTACCTGTGCCTATCAATGATACTGCATTACTGCAGAAATGACTTTACCTTGTTCCACAACAATACAATAATAATAATAATAATAATAATAATAATAATAATAATAATAATAATAATAATAATAATAATAATAATAATAATAATAATAATAATAATAATAATAATAATAATAATACATGAGACTTGTATAGCGCTTTTCAGGAAACTCAAAGACGCTTATGGTATAGAAATCCTCTTTTTCAAATGCCTGTTGAAATGTAACTGTACAGATTTGTTCTATGTTCTAAGCCAGTGCTAAGGCATTAGTTTCAATAAATTAAAACAAGTAAGAAGTAAGTCAGAAAGGAAAAGGGCTGACCAAGGATACTTCAAAGAGAGAGAGGTAGACAGATGAAAAGAGTCCGTCAGACAGACAGATAGCCCTCGACGGAGGCCATGATTTGATTAATGACCGGGGCGTGATGTGCCCAAGCACTGATACATGACATTCCCATGGAAAAAAGATCCATCAATGCAAATCCAGCTCCGTCGTGTCGTCCGGAGAAAAACTCTGACCCTGCCAAAAAGTCACACTGTCACCTGACCCTCGTCTCCTTTTAATCCAACCATCCATCCAGCTCCCCTCCATCCATCCATCCCTGTCTCAACAGCATTTGCATTCTCTCCTCGCATTAAGCCTCTCACTCTAACCTTCGCACTCTTTCCCTCTTCTCAGCCAGTCCCTGACACGCTATCTCATGTTTCTCTCCCCTCTTTTAATACCCAATTTGCATCCAATACAAGCAGTAGGCGAGGAGCCAAGAAAGAGGAGCCAACGTGCAAAAGAACAAGCTCTGAAGACTGTGTGTATCCACGGACACTTTGTCTTATTTGAATTGTTCTGCCAGAAGAGAATATTTCAGTCAAGGGAAAAGAAAACTCAAGCAGGTCAGAAGAGGATTTGGGTTAAGAGGCAGAGTACGGAAGAGAACAAAAAAACCATGAAGTCTCAGCAAGGGAATACTTTTGATGGTTTTCACTAGACTTTATGCTTTTGGACAGTTGATATATTTCGGTTACTTCCAGGCCAACAAGATGAAACCACTCTTTGCATGCAAAAGGCAACCGTTGTGTAGTGTGTAATAACAACTTTACACCAGTTGGTTAATTTGTTCAACAGAATTGGACTCTTGTCAGAGAATAATATCTCTGCTACAGCTTTTAGATCAGGAATCTTAGCCAGACCGTCATTACAAGTATAGCAATTATTTCATGTATAGCAATTATGTTATATTAAAATATGGGCTGTTTGGCGCAACCTCTAATACTCCCTACCTAAAATAA